AAATATCCCTGATAAACACTGTTCCAAAATGCCTACGACAATTGTTTATTAAAGTCTCACCTCAATATAAAATAGATACAGTACAAAGAAAGCAATAAAATAACAACTATTGGTATAGACTAGTGTTTGGAATTGGTTAAAATCTTATAATTAATGATTGGTTCATTACAACCGATCAATCATCAAAATAGTTGGTTAGCGTTATTTATCAAATTGTCCTGGTTATGTTTATTAATATACACAAAATAAAGAACAAAACATGTAGTTCTTTTGGTTGTTTTCGCAAATTTCATGTCTTTAAAGGATGACTAATAAGTTAGGAACATTAATTTCCTGGAGTCTTCAAGATAAATTTTAATCATGACTTGGAACGAGCTTGTAGTGCTTATGAAACGCAACAAACAAAACCAACCTTGTGATAAATATTGTCAATGCAAACAAGTGTTCCAAAATTGTTTGTGTTCGATTATGACAAAATGTGATCGATTGCTTGGTCGTTTAGTCATTACGACCAATCTTCGATTATTTCAATCAATTGGACCACCACTAGTATACACTTGTCTTGACCAGCGTGAAATGTCAACTAACACCTCCTATTACACTTAGCAAGTCACTATACTACAGTCGCAGCGGCCCCAAATTACCCACGGTCACGCCTACCCCGACTAGCGTGTACCCAGACTAGCGCGTACTGTCCAATAATACCTACTCTTGTGAAGAGCAACGCATATTGTTACAGAGCTCATACGTTACACCCACTGTTACACACACACCGATTGTAACTGTGTTTCCGGGGACATTGCGGACTCATCACTTTACTACAGTCACAGCGGTCCCATATTACCCACGGTCACGCCTACCCCGACTAGTGTGTATTGTCCAATAATACTTACTCTTGTGAAGAGCAACGCATATTGTTACAGAGCTCATACGTTTACACCGACTGTAACTGTGTTTCCGGGACATTGCTGACTCATCACTTTCGGACAAGTCACTAAGCTTCCTTCATCCAAGGAAACGTGAGAGCTTTAATTGTACAACTAGCGCCGAGTGACCCTTGGGGATTTTGTTGGACGTCATTGACTGGAATCAATCCCTAATCTAAGTGTAATCAATGCCGAATCATTGCATCGTTCATACTCTCACCGGACACGGCAATTTGGGATAAATTAGGCTCTAACGTCGGTTGTCCGGAACACTGGTTTGAGACAATGTCGAGACGCTCCCTTTATGAACATATATATAGTACGGAGTATGGAGGCAGGACACTGGTGTGAGACAATGTCGAGTCGCTCTCTTTATGACCATATATATAGTATGGAGTATGGAGGTTGAAAAGAAATTCATAGCGTGTTTCACTACATAAACCTGGCAATTTGCATAATTTGTTGCACTTTTACAGATGATATGGCTTCATTTGGAGTCTTCCGGTCACACATGTACTTGCACACGTCAACTGAAACTGCTTGTAGGAGGATTTTGACAAATGTTATGGATAATAATTTCTTCTATTTCGTGAGTGCGACGCGTCGATACAGATTCTTGTACGTTGTCAAGCAGGAATGTAATATGAAGTGGAATGGACGTATATATACTGCATGTGACAAAGAAAACAACATTATTAACAAAATTAGCTTGGCAGTAAGTCGCTAAAGCCTGTGAGTTAACAAACGGGAAAGGGGTGCAAGACAGGCATATACAAATCAAAGGGGTAGTACTGAAAGGTGGAGATCTTTATACAGTTGATTTGTATCATAAGCGGATGGATTGAAATATCCTTGATCTCGGTTGATGGTTGGCTTTTGGCGTTTGAAGTGAATGGCCTCGGTGGGTTTGATTGCTCGCAAGAATGGTGAGGTCAGGCCAGTTTATTTGGTGATTGGGATATGTTTTGATGTGATTAGAGATGACTGATTTGCTGTGAAGTGGTAACGGGACAGTGATGTTCTCTCACTCGGGCGTTGTTAGGTCGGGATGATTCTCCTAAGTAGCTCTGTCCACAATCACAGGTGATTGTATAAATGAGTATGACACTTTTCGGGTTGTTGTTGGCGGTTGGGGATTTTTCTTCCGTTAGCATAGAGAAGGTTGTTGAGACCTGAGGATGAGTAGAAGGTAGTATCTATGCCTGCTTGTTGTTTTAAGAGTTCATCTTTCAATGGCATTTTAAAAGTTGGGAAGTACAATATGGACCAACTTTATGGACAACAACTTGTTTTATGGTTTTATTAGTTGTATTGTTGTATTTATTGTTGTATGTAGCACGCAATAGCAACAAATGATACTGATCTTCAATGAATCAATGATTGTGACCGTAATAGCGATATGTACAGTTTATTGCAACATTGTTGTAGTGTTTCAATTTTAAGCTTATGACAACACATTCGAATCATTGTCGAAGATTTCCAAATGTGGCTTCACCGTGGGCATTGGGTGTCAGCCCAGCTGTCACTGTCGAGTCTCTGGTTAAGAGCCTTGTTGGTCATTTTCGACCTTCCCTGAGTTGTGTCCCCGAGCCTGGGAACCGTGAAGACCTGGGCTAGAATTGGTCTTCAGTAACCCATGCTTGTCGTAAGAGGCGACAAACGGGATCGGGTGGTCAGACTCGCTGACTTGGTTGCGTAGATCGATGCTCATGATGGTGGTAGCTGGATTGTCTGGTCCACACTCGATTATTTACAGACCGCCGCCATATACAGTAGTTAGCCATATAGAGTGAGTCATCACAAGTGAAATTTCCATGGCGTAAATGTTAATTGACTGTTGCAAGAATAAATTTCATAAATTGAGTAGAAGTCATTTTATTCTGATATTTTGCAAACATCTTTGAAATCATCTTCAGCTACGTGTACATAATTTTCTTTCATCTTTCCGTTGATTAGTTATCGAATGGCACCTGATTATGCATCAAAGGACAACTTTATTTTAATCTATCCCATAGACGGCCATGTTAAACCTGATTGGTATGTCTAATATATGTTGTTTAAATAGTTGCAGTTTTCTTAATAATCATCAGAAAATTGAATGGGGATTATGTATATGTAGCTGAGATGATTCCCAAGCTGGTAGATAAGCATTGAAAGCAATTCGACCGAAACTAAATCTATGAAAATTATTCTTGCAAGAGTTAATTAACATGCAGGCCTATGGGAATTCCACTAATGATGACTCACTTATGGCTACTGTAGCTTGAATATTGCTGAGTGCGGCGTTAAACAACAAACCAACCAGCCAACCACCCGAGCCTGGATAGTGCCTGTGAACCCGGTTGGTGTCTGTTGATGTGGGTAATGTCTCTGGATGTTGGCAGTGTTTGTAAGTCATGCATGTGACCTACGGACCCACTCACTCACTCACATACACTATTATGGAATTATGTTCATCGTTTCCTGATACAAGTGTTCAGGTCTGAGTGTGAGATCCGTTAGGTTCCAAGTAAGGTTTTGTCACCACCAGCCTACGCTTTCATACAATTCAAAAACTACTGAATGTTGCACTCACATACAACACTGGAAGGAGAAACCGACACGTGACTCGCACATGGACTGCAAGGTCAGCGGTGGAATTGTTTGCTGCATGTGTAAATAAATACGCACGGCTGTGGCGCAACTTTAACCAACAGCTGACATGGATATTTTAAGACGCTTCACATGCTATACGCGTTTCTACAAGACGATCACCTATCGTTTAGTGGGAACTGTTTATGTTTGAGTCTGCTCAGATATCCAGGAAATGATAGTAGTGGTAAGTCTGGACATTGGACAACTCTATTTTGTAAGAGCACGGACCAAAATATCAAGGGCCGTCGTGAGATCGAACAAATAACATATTCCCGTGAGACCATGTCACGACATACGATCAAACAGACCATGAACACATTGTGCATTAGTGGTGGTCCAATTGATTGAAATAATCGAAGATTGGTCGTAATGACTAAAAGGCGGAGCAATCGATCACATTTGTCATAATCGAACACAAACAATTTTGGAACACTTGCTTGCATTGACAATATTTGTCACAAGGTTGGTTTTGTTTGTTGCGTTTCATAAGCACTACAAGCTCGTTCCAAGTCATGATTAACATTTATCTTGAAGACTCCAGGAAATTTATGTTCCTAACATATTAGTCATCATTTAAAGACATGAAATTTGCGAAAACAACCAAAAGAACTACATGTTTTTTTCTTTATTTTGTGTACATTAACAAACATAACCAGGACAATTTGATAAATAACGCTAACCAATTATTTTCGATGACTGATCGGTTGTAATGAACCAATCATCAATTATAACATTTTAACCAATCCCGAACACTACTGTTCATATCAGAGCTTTTCGTGATTACTTACAGTAATAGTGCTACCGAGTCACGGGATTTTCTGGTCCGTCACTTGATTCTCTGATTTAATAATGTAATAATGATATTTATATAGGGATACTTCCACATCACTGGGAAACATGCTTAAAGCGCATCATAATATATATACAATATACAATATAGACAACTAGTGGTAACGCATCCTCGATAATCTCCAGGGTATACTATAGTGGAAAGTTATCGTAACATATACCCAGGGCCTAGATTTTCGAAGGTCTGTTAGCGCTAAGATAGTCGTAAGTGCCATACATTAACATTAACTTATGACTCTCTTTGCGCTAAGAGAGCTTCGAAAATCTGGGCCCTGGAGATTATCGAGGATAGTGGTAACGTTGATTTGTTAACAGACCGTTGTCGCCAGGGAACTGTCACGTACATATGTATGGACTGTGTGTGAGTGACGGGTACCATAGGTAGCGCAGGTTATGCTCACCCGAACACCCAGACACCCGGTGTCGTCACTGATTTTCACATAACTTTTGCCGTTATTTGGCTTTTTCGCTCATGGTGTCTGCGGATAATCACCACTGGTTACTCTCTGGCGTTGACATTTTATATGATCTCCGTTGAGTGATGTCTATGGATGATTGCTCATGTATACAAACGATGTTGTTTATTTTCAGAGAGGTGATTTACTGAAGAGACAGTCCGAGACACCAGATGATGGACAACTTGGTAAGTTCAACAAACAGAACCGAGCCAACTAACAAACTCATACACAACCCTGACGCACACCAGAAAATGCATGCTCGCGGAGAAATAATCATTTTTCGTGTATTTTTGCCCGACGGTAACACTCTATTGTCCTAAATGTTTCTGATCATAACTTTTTAACGGATAAAGTGTACAAAACGTTTGGATATTTACTTTCTAGCCAATTAACGAGTGAAAATGATATTATAAAATCCATAGTTTCATTGGGGCAGACTGAGGCCTGGAGTTCGAATCTTCATGTGGGTACACATTGCTAAGCGCTCATCTGGTGATCCTCCTCTCTACCCTAACACACACACACACAAACACACACACACACACACACACACACACAATCACACACACACACACAATCACACACACAATCACAATCACACACACAATCACAATCACATACACAATCACACACACACAATCACACAAACACACACAATCACACACACAATCACACACCACTCACTCACTCACTCACTCACTCACTCACTCACTCTTCTCGTTGCTAGGTTGCATCAGTATGAAGCGGGCTGCCGGGGAGTACTTCTACGTGTCTGACGGGTCAAGCGAGGTGTGCGGGATGTACATGCTCGGCCAGCCGGACACTCTCCTGCAGATTGAGTTCACCCAGTTCACCATTGAGTGTGAGACCGGGGGTCTCGTGGCGGTGAGTACCAATGGTAGACATTCGGGACTTTTCGACTCTTTCCGGAGCAAGACAGCATATTGCGGAAAGAGAGTGATAAGACGAATATCTGACAGTCAGCAACAATCCAAACAGAACCATTCAGTTCTTGGTTAAAGGATTTTGGTTATGAAACTCCAGATTCGATATCGTGTTTGACAAGGTGTTCATATCATTATATTCCTAAGTAACTATAACAGCCTTAATCCCAGCACTGAATACCTGACAATGTGGACAATTATAAGTTTACAATTTGTTGTACAGTCCTGTCTCGGGTCTATGAATACAATACATTGGTTCAAAACACTGTATGTTGTAGAACATATTCTCAGGTTTAAACTATCCGCGAATAGCTGCAAACCTGCTTATGCGGCTTTAAGCAACATTTACTTACTCATTCTCAGGTTTAGCAACACGCAAAATACCCCTGTGCACCGAGGATGGGTGTCACGTTGCTTCTGCTGCCTTGCTGTGCAGCATACATGGCCTTGCTGATGTTTAGAACAAGGAACTGAAAACAACTGTGTCACTTACGCTTCTGTTTTTGGTATCAATGCCATTGCGATTCTGAAACTCTTCGGGTTCATGCAAATGTCTTGTAATGTGACATCATCTTGGATTTTTCTGACACCAACTAATGCAAATTGGGAAAGAATATTAATTCTGGTAATATTATTGTGATAGCTGACACTGACAGCGACATCCGGCGGCTTTTGATTCGACGTATGGAAACCACATGGCGTCGTTGTCATTGAATCAATAAATCACTTGCCAAATATAACATGATTTATTCGCAAGAACAGGGTGGTTAGCCGACTTTCATGTTTCAGTTTGGCATCATTTTCTGTTATGATACATAATTAATGGTTGGAACAATATTGAAGTCACGCTGCAATTCGCTGTACAGAGTTTCATCTCTTCGGCGTAACAGAATTCTGCCATCTTAGATTTTTGGGCCCCGAATATCTGGTCTGAAATTCTGCATGGATTCGCCTTGATCATGTTTCTACGGTTTTTCAGCACCATGAACGTGGGATTCACCAGTGTGTTAAACGCCCACAATCTGCATCCTTCAGGCTCCCCTCTCATGTAAAACTAACATGCTGTGGTATAACTAGAATATTGCCACCTACAAACACGGATCTGTCAATCAGCTACATGCATGAAGATCATTTCTTGTGCACATGATTAGATGATATTGCACGGACTGAGACTGGTAGTGGGACAATGCCCTGTTGTATTTGACACGTGATCTGGTTTAAATTCATTTCCATGCATACTCAGAGACAATTTTACAACGGCAATCTTAAGCTTGTGGATGAATTTTTGGATTTGAACAAGAGAATGTGGGTGTTAGAATGTTCGTAGGAACGCAACCAAGCATTTGTTGTTCGAATTGCAAAAAACTCCAACAAATAATCAATCTTGTTGCGTGGCTTATTTGCATTTGCCAGGTGTGGTGTTTTCATTGAATGTTGGGCGTTACCATACCTCGAAACATACGAGTCAGTCATTTTAAATTACAACTGGTGGACCTTGTGGTGTATGTTACAGCTGGTGGACGGTTGGGAGCTGCAGTCGGAGTTCTTCCCCAACATCCAGGACACGGGGGATACGTTCGAGGCACGATACAAGACATTCTGCGGGGTCAACTCACCGGCGCAAGTTTACGTGGCGTCGCAGAACGTGGCTCTCATCCAGTTCCGGGTCCCTGAGGCAGGTCAGGGCTTCCGGGTACGAATGAGCTACCTCCACAACCCTCAACGTGAGTGCTTCCGTCGTCTACATCGTCTCCAGCAACACTACTGTTTATATACATGTACTAGTATTACCTACTACATGGCGCTGCACTATACTATACCATAACGTCATCTTCATGTTGCTGATATATTGAAATACAGAGGATGGAATGTTAAACTGTCGCTCACTCGGTAGTGGTAGTACTAGTGGTAGTGGTAGTAGTGGTAGTGGTAGTACTAGTGGTAGTGGTAGTAGAAGTGGTAGTGGTAGTAGTAGTAATGGTAGTAGCAGTAGTGGTAGTAGTAGTAGTGGTAGTGGTAGTGGTAGTAGTAGTAGTAGTAGTGGTGGTAGTGGTAGTTGTAGTAGTCGTAGTAGTGGTAGTAGTAGTGGTAGTAGTAGTGGTAGTGGTAGTAGTAGTAGTAGTAGTAGTAGTAGTGGTAGTGGTAGTGGTAGTGGTAGTAGTAGTACCAGTAGTAGTAGTGGTAGTGGTAGTGGTAGTAGTAGTAGAACCAGTAGCAGTAGCAGCAGTAGTAGTAGTTGTAGTAGTAGTAGTAGTGGTAGTAGCAGCAGTAGTAGTAGTAGTGGCAGTAGCAGAAAATACAGCAGTAATAGCAAAATATGCATATGCACCAACATTATTTTTAAATTAGTAGCATTTACAGTAACTTCATTTTCATCATCATCATCATCATTAACGTTAATACTACTTTCATTACAGCGTGTAATGTGATGTTGATGCCGACTGCTGGGGTGGTGACGCTCAAGAACTACGGCGAGAGACGTAACTGCACCGCTTCAATCATCTACCCCGAGAACATCCTCATGCTGTCCGTCGACATCGGCGTCACGTCCCGGGGTACCACGGTCGCCACCGAGAGCGGCCTGTCTGTCAGAGTGAGTGTCCACACCCACAAAACCCTTTCATGATGCCACACCCATCTAGGGGTTCGGGTGACCTGTATCCTTGTATATATGGAAACACTAGCAGCTCTGTATGTTAAAACACATCTATCGAGAGTTAACAGTAGCGGATACACGAGAGCCATGTGTTTAATCCAGTTATCTCCCTTTCAGTGCCACAACGAGGCTGGTGCTGATTACGTGGAGTATCTCTATGGTAACGGTCTGGACGTCAGCTACATGGGACGGAAGAGAGCTTTTTGTGGACTCCGATCAAAAGCAGGTAAGCGGAGAATCTATACAGGGATTCAATTTATGAAGCCGTGAAAGAATTTTCATTTTCCACTTCCACTATCCTCTGACTGCGGAATCCTACAGCTCAGGGCTCAGTACAATAATCTCATGTACACTTTCTCCATCACCTGACAGTGGAAATATCCAAGAATCTTCCAGTCCCTAATCTGTAATCATCTCTTATATCCATTATCCCCAACTGCATATCGCCAGAATACTTTCCACAACTCCGATTGCCATGTCCCCCCCCCCTCTCCCCCCCCACACACATCGGATACTGAACACCAAAGTCAGCTCTCATGCCCAATTTTCCATCTCCAAGTTAACATCCTTCATTCCTCCCTTGAATTCAAGACCTCCACTCCATGACCATGAAATCGCAGTCGAGAAAATCTTGCTTCATCAGCTCCAATCGCCAGCTTCACATCAGGCAGCTTGTTACTGCAACTATTCATTACGTAAAAAAGTAATTTAATGTATTTTAATATTTAAATTATTTGGACGGTAGGTTGAACAAATATATCCATACGAGTGATTGTATAGAATTTCTTAAGTGATTTCGACAAGTAGTTTACTGGTTTGAGAACGTTTAAATGTCAGAAATATATCACCGTTCTGTTTACTTGAAACAGATCCTTAACGGCGGTGGTATGACAAGATGTCATTGTCAGTGTTTCTCACATTTTTTTATCTTTCAGATTATTCATTAACCCCAGTTCATAATTTATTCATATTTATAAAACCAGGTGTAGAAATAGTGTTTTGCTAAAGCTAAAATGAAAATAACACCCAGTGCACCGAGAATATACCGAGGAGCCTGTATTCCCGCTTGTATTAACAGCACACAACAAATGACGGTTTATGTATTTTCTCTACACCGGGATGTCTTTATTCCACATTGTCCTTGTACACCACGCACAGGGCACAACTCAGATAGCATTAAGTAACGTTGGTGGCGTGGAGTAGGTGCATGGATTATCGCTAACAGCAGAACGATTCCTGAGCCTTTCTAGGGCTTTCTAGGGGTGTGTCCCCTCAGTGACGTGACCTCGACTTAAGTTCAGTTTCCTAATTGGTCTTCAGCAACCCATGCTTGTCGTATATATAAGAGGCGACAAATGGGTTCGGGTAGCCAGTCTCGCTGACTTGGTTGACGCGTCATCGTAGTCCCACTTGCGTACATTGATGCTCATGCTGTTTATCACTGGATTGTCCGGTCCTGACTCGATTATTTACAGACCGCCGCCTTATAGCTAGAATATTGCTGAGTGCGGCGTAAACAACAAACCAACCAATCTTGTCTGGAAATGGGTAGAATAAGATGTCAATGCAACTGGAACCTTCAAGCAGCTTTGGCTGTCTCATCCCCATGGAGCTGAGAAGGAAACTCGAGTGTAAACGGATCCATTAGCCGAATGATGATGATGATGATGATGATGATGATGAGTTTTATTATAATTATTATTCAGACCGGCGCAGTGTGACCCTGGGCTGCCAGAACTCTGCCGTGAGACTCGTGTCTAGTGGCCTTTACTACAACTCCATCACATTCTCGCTCTCCAAACCGACGGCCGAGGAGATCGCCGCCTTCAGCCCTCAGTGTTAATATGTCAGGTAGGTTCACAGACTACGCCGGTTTTACTCCGCCTCGGAAACCGTTTCATTTCAGTGAGGTCTGCCATCTTGACTTGAGAGGAATAAACTAAACGTCTTTACGTTAGCACTTTTCTAACACATGAACACGGGCCGGATGTGGTGCTCACAACCAGTATACCTGTTCAGGGACAATCTTAAATTGTTTGATCGGTATTTTAAAAGTTGGTGAGTCAATAATATAGCATGCAACTTTGTGGATGACAACTTCTTGTTTATTTCATAGGGTGACGTTTTGGTGCAGATGCTTACACCGTTATAGAACTAAAAGTGAAGTTCTCTTCTATATAAGTCGTATCCTTCATTTTTTTAATCTTAGGTTTCTATCACACTTAATTTCTGAAAAACATGAACATAGGCGATCGTGCTTCATAGAAATGGAGGTCTAGTCTTTGTGGTCACGACTATGGGCAATGTTTGGAATATATGGATCGGTAGTTCAAATAACACATTCGAAAAAATATTTATCTGCCGGTAAAATACCTGCGTTTTGGTAATACCAACATTGAAAACATCAGCGGCCTAACGTGCAACATAGCTGAATTGCTGTTGAAAAACTGTATTTTATATTGCTTTCCGTGTTTCCTTTATAAAATTCTACAATTTGATAGATTATACATACATGTACATAACTTAACACCTCCTTAACACTTCCCTCTAAAAAAAGTAAAGCTATATTCGGTCAGGGCGCACTCTAAAACTTGATTCTTCTGCCAACCTCAAAGGGTAAGGTAAACTTACGTTGGCTGCGATTGGACGATTCAAAACATAGCAGCCATTGGTCCATGCTATCGAACGAATAGAAATAGCGCACTAAATTATCCCTACAATGAAGCAATTAACATCAGACTCAGAACATCGCAGTAAGTCACAGTTGTACCCCAAAAGTAAGATGAAGTGGTGACATGTCTCCAGCTTTATTTACCTTGGTAATTAAGACCGCTGCGCGAGCACGTCAATAACCAGCTCGTGACCCGGTATAAAGAATCAGGTCAGTGAGACAGCCTGCAGGATGCCCTATCAATGTTCATCCGGAATGGTTCGTTCTCAGGAGCCCTCCGGAAACAATCTCACAAAAAAATGTCAAATATTCTGTTCCGTTAAGCGTGAGAAATCATAAAATATCTCATGTTTACAAGAAAATTAAAGCAATGTGAAAGTACTTACGGGTTTGATTATGCCAACCCCACACTTTAGTGAATCCACGAATACAATTCTATTATTCACTTTTCGTCTCTCGACCACTTGACAGTGTTACCAAATATAGCATGTAAACTGGTTGATATGGAGTTAAATTACTGAATCAATGTTACAATCACACGCATACAAGCAGATTTCTATTCACCGTTAGTCTTTTCACTGTTGAATCTGGCACTGATTATATTTGCGTCCTTTCATCATTGCTGTGTCTTGCATATCGTCTAAATACTGTGTAACTATAGGGTTGATGGGCTCAGGTATCAGCAATATATATATTATAGATTTTAGTTGTCAGCCGTAGTGCCATTGCTGGAGTGCAGTGTAAAACCATGCTCTCCAACACTGTATTAACCGCAATCAAACAGTATGTAGACTTATTACTCACCCGTTGAATATGCCACTGTTTAATAAATCTACAATGTTATTACACGTTGTGTAATAACATCGCGTGATGCCGGGTGTATGACGTCATAATAGTTTGCAATTATGACGTCACAACGCAAATATCTCTGTCACAATGGTATAAGACCTTTCTTGGCTCGCGGAAAGCTGAGAGCCACCACACTCCAGGCAGTTTCTATCAATTTATGTTGGAAAGTAATAAACAGAATACTAAACTCGCTTCCATGAAATATCATTTTTATTAAACTCGTGAATCATTTGGTATCAAACGAACGAAAGCGTTTAATAAAAATGGTATTACACGGAAGATCGTTTAGTATCCTCTATATCTGAAGTGTTATCGACTGGTACGGCTGTGCATTCTAAATTCATCGAGTACAACATTCTTCCTCGTTTCTGTTTCAGAGTCGCTATGTGTTGGCTTCTACATCAGCCGATCTACCAAAAGGAAGTCATACTTTACCGTCCTTGAACCCATTTCACTAGGTGACCTTGACCCTTGGGTCACGTGATTTAAGTGGACGAATGAAGTGATACTATCTGTAAAACTGTCTGATGAGTGTTAAGAACAGTGGCCCCTACAATGCTAATACGATGAAGACCGACATTGACGTGAGTACAAATGGATGATTATTCCTGCACAAGGGATGTCACTTGGATTCTTCTAATCGGCATCATACAGCTCTCACAACGTTTTGACGTCATAAACAGGGGTCAGTGAAATACTCCATGCACTGATGACGTGTGCAAAGCATTATGACGTCAAAATCACCACGACTGTGACGTCACAATAGATTGCTGTAAAATGGACTTATTCTTGTTGTACGATCAGACACATATTGTCTTCTCTGTAGTGTGTTGGCTCACAGTGTTGGGAGTACTTTAATTGTCATTACAATAACAAAATTCGTATCGTTTTCAACTTCGGAGTGCACTGACTGCTAGATTCTAATTATCACGCTCATTTCGTGTCTACTACAACATTGTGTAAACGTCATATAAATATATACATATCGTCAGTAATATTAACTGTGTATCATTGGGAGTCGACTCTGCCCAACAGCCCCCGATGTCATTGTACATTGTACTTCATACTGAACGGAATAAAGTGGATTGTACAAACGTCTCATTCTTGTATTCCTCCGACAGGCAAATGTAGAACCAGCCGACATTTCATGTTCATCAGACGAATTCATTTCAGGAAATCGAGGGATCGAGTCATGCACTAAAGGACCAACAACATTACCAAATTCACACTCATATTGCTTCAATTAAAGGATGGATGATGGATGAATGATGGATGGATGGATGATGGATGGATGGATGGACGTGCCAGACAGTTTGGGCGAAACGGTATATGCCTTCGGTTCGGTATACCGTAATGCAATCAAAAAAATTGGTATTTTAGTTTTTCTTTCCGTCATTTCTATCTTGCCATAAACTGACTGGTTTGTTCATTCAAAATAACAAAGATCATGGTTATTTTTCCATGTTATTAAATAACGTAAGGGTTGGCTCTTGTTGTTAATTTTCTGCATTATGATAATATGTCATATACTAAACTGAAACGGACCGAACCGAAACCGACCGAACCGAAACGGACCGAACCATAACGGACCGACCCGTAACGGACCGAACCGAAACGGACCGAACCGTAACGGACCGACCCGTAACGGACCGAACCATAACGGACCGACCCGTAACGGACCGAACCGAAACGGACCGAACCGTAGGCCTTGTACCGCAATACCGACAGTACCGTGGTAACAGCGTACCGGTTCACCCCTACAGACAGTGTAGTTTACATGGTAGGTCGTATTGTGTTGCGCTGACTTTACCACTGTGTGACCGAGTAGCTGCTCTGGTTAGGAATGAACCGTTTAAAAGTTTGTTTATTTTATTGTAAAATGTTACAAATTATGTAAATAATGTTGGCATGTGTTTGTGTTTACCTGTTCATAATCCATCTGTGTTCTTCTTGTCATAAGCACAAATACTAGGGGCACTTGAGTCATGGCTTCTTCTCTGTGAAACAACTCTTGATTAGGGTGAAACAACCCCTAATATGGGATGAATTGACCTTGTTTGGAATTGGGATGAAACGACACGGGTGAGACGACCCGGGTGAAATTTGGGGTCAAACGCCCCGGAACCATGTGGCAATGCAGAGAACGCACTGAACCTGTTGGGCAGGTTCAACCATAGCGTGGCTGGGTTTCCTGACACTTAACACGAACATAGCATCCTTCCATCCTGGAGCAAGTATACCGAGCTTGACGTAAACATAAAATGAAACAAGCGTTGTTAAATTTGAATACGTCTATTTAATCATCCCTCATTACCGTAAAAGTTGTGTATTTGAAAGTATTTTTTGTTTGTTTTGTTTTAAATCAAATTATATTGACAATGATAGAACTATGCTAAATGTATTCTACGAATGTAAAATACGCGACAGTATAGCTCACATTATAACTACGATAAATTAGGAACAATTTTGCCGAGACTTAGTGCGTAGTCCGGATTATGGAGAAGACCGGATTACAAAGTGTCCGGATTTGACAGATTCCACTGTATATAATATTCCTTAAGGAATGTTCCACTGAAACTCAAACATTCGTCAATTCAACAGATAGGTATAGTTCCTTTAGACACTCAGTTTAAAGGGGAAGTGTACACGATAAAATCACATTTATTCCTATGTGAAACAAAATGAAATATTTTATTATTTTATATCAATGTTTGAAATTATACACTAATTTTTCTTACAATGAAAGTATAACCCTCAAAATAAGTGCTGAAATGTTATGCCATCATGCTGTCCTTGTTTGCCGAGCTAAACAGGTCAGAGTTACCGCCCTTTGATTATGACGTAATTGGTGCCACTTGATTTTAGTCTGGTCCCCTGTCTAGTCCCAAATCAAAATACTGAAATTAATCACGTGAGAAAAGTTTGTGAAAATACGAAAGAAGCACAAGAACTGAAAATGTAAGCAGCAGGACAGTTTGATCGTGTGTATTTTCATTCATAACCTCACGTCAATGACAATACCAAGCGACATTTTCAAAATGGCGTGTTCACTGACACGAGTACGGCGGATTTTTCAACGGGAAATTTCGTTGTTTCAAGCAACGTATATACATAACTGTGATATGTAAGTAGTCAGAAATATTCTGACAACCTGCTGGTTCATATTTTCTTACTGTTTTCATGTGACCGAGGGAAATAGTCAGAATTGAGGAGAACTTCCATCGTCGGTGTGCGTGAATTTTCATGTCATGGCGTCACACTCTCAGAAACTATAATATGTTGTGATGAATCTCGGAAATCATTGGAATACACCTATTTTATTTAACGATCGCTTGCTAGAATACCTTTCCCGTACATGGTCTAAAACTAATGAGCAAGTGTATGCAACAAAAGTAGGCGAACAGATACACAGGCGTACAGAGTGAAATCTGAATTCGACTTTGTTTACATTTCAAACAAGTGGTCCTTTCCCAGTGCGGCATCTGATATATTTCGTTAGATTTCACTGAAACACTTGGTATTGGTGACAAAGACCATTTGACATTTTATTTTGAACTGTATGAGGAATTCAGGAATATGTGTAAGAGTACGTGTGACGTGATTTTATAAACACTCTTCAGTATGGCTGAAAATTCACTTTGACGTTAATTGTGTGTATTTCGTAATGTGTCAAATCTGGCCAGATTTACGATGCATGTAATTTTCAGTATATTTGCCTTACAATGAGCGGATGAAGTCATAGAAAACCGAATTTCAAACCGAATTAAAAACTGTCAATTGCATTTTTCTTCGTGATGTATTTGGATATGGTATCGATAGGTGGGAAGAGTGGAAGAGGTGGGGCATATATTGTACGATTTATGTAGGAATTAAGTAACAGACGTAGAATGCCGACACGTTCACCGATGGCAAGCTAGATGTAGTGCATAAACGTTTTAGTTTTTGTGAAAAACGATACTGTTGAAAGACGACCGACTCAGGTTGAATGTTGTACAATTTGGTTACGTGGTAACACTGTTTGTACAATGTATACGTTTTTTCAAACTGCAACGTCATCACAGCGTGGAACTGACCACATAGCCAACTGACGGCCAGGCAACAGCTGGATTAAAACAGTAGCCTGCGCATCGAGACACTAGAACCACACCTATACCTGCACCACGTGAAATGGGTCTAACAACGTCATACGTTTATCGGTCTGGCACCAATGACGTCATTTCCAAGGGACATAAGCCGAGGTGTGTTTATTGTGGACACTGAACTCTCGGTTATTGTGGAAAATTTGAATCGATATAACGCAAAAAATAGATTAGTTACTTCTGACATATGCACGGGTCTGGATATAAAACTACTTGACAAACACTTTTTATGATGAAAAAGTGCAAGACAAAAAGGTTAATTGTCGTGTACACCTTCCCTTTAATATTGTCACAGTTGTTATCAATAGAGTTCGGTATTGACTGAACGTGATGATATCGTTGCTATGCAACTAATCCAAGCGCCAATAGGGATCTATGTAATCACTGACGTCACACCGACAGCTGAAAGATAAGCTCCTTATGAATTGCGAGTGATGATCAAACTGCCGATGCAAAAGCTCTGTACACATGCGCATCGCCTAGATGATAGCACTTTATTTAGATCAACTCTTAATCTGTCATTTTCTTTCAATTATGGGATAATCTTCCCAGACACAGCTGTTAGATGTGAGGTAAATATGTTGGTATCTAACGTCCTCGGCTTATTTTCGTTATTTTTGCAAACTATTTCCTTATTAAGCAGGAGCCGGGGTTTTTGGACTGTATTGTTTACGGAGTTTATTTTAAAAATATATCATCCGTGTTTAGTGAAGTAAAACCATCATTGGTCTTTAAATACATAGACAGTGATTGCTGCCCCTGAAGAGAGGATGTTGATGATGATGATGATGATGATGATGACGATGATGATGATGGGATATTTCTATAGCGCACATATCCACGCAACTAGTACATGCTCAAGGCGTTGTGACGTAACAGTAGATGTCTCGGACGTGAAACCGTAGGAGCAGGGCTTTTTATAACCTTTCTGCTTATTCCTTTAATGCAAGTAGTATATATTGATAAAACACGGACTTAACCCAAAGATCTGACTGTTGTCGTCAGATAAAGGATCGTCAGGTTTTCGCCACAGCGACCTTGAACGAGAAAAAAACGGAAAATAGGTTCTCACGGGCATTGAGTGAGAGTGTGAGTTAGTGAGTGAGTGAGTGAGTATGGTATTTTAGCTTTATTCGAGCAATTTCACAGCGAGAGACACCATAAAAGGATTTCACACATTGTTACCATGTCGGGAATCGAACCAGGCACTTCGTCTTGGCGAGCGAACGATTGAACCATAGGCTACCCCTCTGCCCCTCATTAAACTGAAAGGTTATCTCATTCTGTTTTACGCTATATCTGTCAGTGCTCGTATCAAAGATTCAGAGACCCCAACAACAACTAAACTAGCCGAATATGAAACAAACACATTTCTGGTGTCCATCGTCGTGATATTGCTGGAATATTGCTAAAAAGCGGCGTAAACCCAAATCACTCACTCACTCTTAAAAACTGTACAAAACCTCTCCAACGTTACAGTAATTGATATATGACTATCTCAGTAACGCTGTCGGAAGAAAGTAAAATCAAATCAAAAAGTCAGACTTATACCAGTCAGACGAGATGTCCATCTGGACGGACCGATATAAGAAACACGAGAAACGTCTACAACAACTACCACGAGAGACGCCAGCCATGTTGGGACGTAAGCACAAGCAAGTGAGACGCCCATATTGACAGACCGATACAAAACCCACGAGAGACGCCAGTCATGTTGGGACGTAAGAACAAGCAAGTGAGACGCCCATATTGACAGACCGATACAAAACCCACGAGAGACGCCAGTCATGTTGGGACGTAAGAACAAGCAAGTGAGACGCCCATATTGATAGACCGATACAAAACCCACGAGAGACGTCAGTCATGTTGGGACGTAAGAACAAGCAAGTGAGACGCCCTTATTGACAGACCAAGCAAGTGAGACGCCCATATTGACAGACCGATACAAAACCCACGAGA